GATATCAAGCTGACACAAATACTGGCCTGAAGCTGTCATGTACATTCAGGGCACAGACTATGAATCTGGTTGATGAACCCTTCCTCTAAATTTACTTGCAAAATATAGCATTAATACCATGTTCTGAATCTTAGCTTTCTTAAGATTTTCAAAAGGGTTGAAAAAGGGTAATATTCACTATGATCTTCCATTAGATAAAATCTTTACTGATAAAAATATTACTACAAATTCTAAGAAATATCTTTGGCTTACGCTTAAAATAGTCGTCTATTTGCTTGGCACTTAACACAGTGCCAAAATGTAAGAAGTGACCAAAAAATTAATACTATTCTATATGAAAGACTGATCTCAAAAGGACAAAGACCATATTAAAATTCTTAATTATCTACAAGGCACTAGGGGAGGCTATGTCACGAGCGTTTATATCATTCCTAGTGGAACTTCTGCTTTTGAGAATGAGCAAAAACAGATGCTCCCATTGGGCAGAAAGTGCCATTCTTCTGATAGTCTGAAAGCAGGAAAAAATAGAACCCCAAACTATTTCAGAAAAGGTCTCTTGAACTTGGCCTTTTCCAAGATTCAGTAAATAAATACTAGCCAAGAGTAAAAATCCCGTAGATGGAAAAAGCTGTTTGTAGAAGAAAGGCCCTACACAAAACTGTAGGAAATGCTGCCAAACATTCTGCTATTTCTGTAGATTAGGTAGAAACTTGGATTTTATTAACACATATTACGCTCTGGCACAAATTATGTCAGCATTAATTTCAATTGATGTTTATTTCCTTTTCAGAAGCAGAAAAGTTACTAGAATTAAAGGTTGGCACCTCTAATTTTCTTATAGGTGTTTTTCACTGACCAAGGAGTAAAACAAAAAGATTTCTAGTGTTATTTTTATTTAATCTCAATGTTGCCATGCTAATCTTGAACTCTTGACCTCAAGTAATCCTCTTGCCTCAGCCCTACAAAGTGAAATTTCTTTTCTTATTATTTGTTTTTATTACTGTTTTCTAATAGCTTCAGCCGTTATCACTCATAAGCTAAAATGTTTCTGGGCAAAACAGCAAAATTTAGTGGGCTTCAATGAGCTCTACCTGCTGAGTCCCTTTCCTGAAAATCAAAGGCTGGGGCAGATAGGAGCGGTGTTTTACTAATAATCTATTCTAACCATGGGATTAAAAAGTTGTTCCTGCTCTAATAAACCTTAAAAGCAGTACCCCTATGATGTTTCAGTTGCTGGAGGAAGCTACAGTAAGAAGAGCATGGAATTTCAAGTCTTCTGACCTGCATTAGTCCTAGTCCCACCACTCCCTCACCATGGAAATTATTCACTAGCCATGTAAGTCACACAGTGTCTGAGTTTTATTGCCTTTATCTGTGAAACAGGGCAATCTTTACCTTTTTATTTATTTATTTATTTTTATTGCATTTTGGGTTTGGGGGTACATGTGAAGAACATGCAAGATTGTTGCATAGGTACACACATGGCAGTGTGGTTTGCTGCCTTCCTTCCCCTCACCTGTATCTGTCATTTCTCCCCATGCTATCTCTTCCCACCTCCCCACCTCCCCGTCCTTCCCCTGTTTCCCCCCAACGGACCCCAGTGTGTAGTGCTCCCCTCCCTGTGTCCACGTGTTCTCATTGTTCAACACCCGCCTGTGAGTGAGAACATGCGGTGTTTGATTTTCTGCTCTTGTGGCAGTCTGCTGAAAATGATGGTTTCCAGGTTCATCCATATCTACAAAGGACGCAAACTCATTGTTTTTGATGGCTGTGTAATATTCCATGGTGTATATGTGCCACATTTTCCCTATCCAGTCTATCATCGATGGGCATTTGGGTTGGTTCCAGGTCTTTGCTATTGTAAACAGTGCTGCAATGAACATTTGTGTGCATGTGTCCTTATAGTAGAATGTTACATAGGCGTAGGCAAGGACTCCATGAACAAAACACCAAAAGCAATGGCAACAAAAGCCAAAATAGACAAATGGGACCTAATCAAACTCCACAGCTTCTGCATGGCAAAAGAAACAGTCAGTAGAGTGAATCAGCAACCAACAGAATGGGAAAAAATTTTTGCAGTCTACCGATCTGACAAGGGGCTGATATCCAGAATTTACAAAGAACTAAAACAGATCTACAAGAAAAAAACAAACAAGCCCATTCAAAAATGGGCGAAGGACATGAACAGACACTTTACAAAAGAAGACATACAGGAGGCCAACAAACATATGAAAAAATGCTCACAATCTCTACCTTTCTAACCACACAGGGCTGTTGCGATGATCAGGGGAATTAACAGACAAAATCACTTTGGACCTATTTATTGCTGGTCAGGGATAATGTATGTGCTGCAACTATGGATACCTGACAAAGTGGTTCCTATAAAAACCTTAAGCCTTATTCTTTGGCCTTACTTTAGTAAAATTACATGCATATTTAAGTGAATCTTGAAAAATGTCAAAACTGGGATATGCCCAGTTTCAGATTTCTACGCGATAGTCTCATCAACTCCCATTTTCTGTTTTAGTGCAATCAATTTCTGAGCATTCTCAAAGTCCAATTAAAGAGACTGAGTCTTGATCTAAGGGCCCCTGTCTGATAAGGTGTTAAATGCATCTTTTCTAGGTAATGCACCTCTCTTTTCTCAAGCTCAGACATGACTCCATTCATTTTTTTCCTAGGCTACTGCCACTGTCATTAAATGCATCAACCACAGCTTATATGTATGGTTTAATTACAGAATCTATGGTCAAAAGCCTCCTTTTCCTTGTAAAAACGGTACTATTTTGCAAGATGCTCTGATTGGTATATATTTGAGAAAAATTACAGAAACCTTCATAATCATATCAATAATTTAACAGTATTTTCTGGTCACTACTTTAGAAAATCAGAGCCAACATCCACTCAGATACAAAGAATAACTGAAGTGTATAATGCTTTGGTCAAAGGATCCCTTACATAAAACGTACGTCTTGAGAAGATGGACAATTCAGTGCTCGAAAGCAAGGTCAACCAGATGCCACCAACACAGCTTCTTTCTGTGGTGCAATGGTGCATCATCTCAGGTTTTCAGTTATGCTCTCACCTCCAAACACTTCCCAAAGCTTAACCCTGCGGTCCATGCCTCCGGTGGCCAGTAACCGGGAACCTGGACTGAACTGCACAGCGTTGACTTCCCCATCGTGCGCATCCTGCAAGGCAAACACCCTGTATCAGGTCATTCTCATCCCAAGAGCTCAAGATGCACGAAAACTCCAAATGCCTAACTTGGGAAAATACGCATCCTCAAGCAGAGGTGGATCCAATCACAAATGGAACTGGACGCCTAGCCCAGGTCTCCTAAGATACTGTTGTCATTTTATTCTTCTAGTAACAGTTCCATTAGAGTACAGTGCAACCTTCTCAGGAAGTATTCAAAATTTGTATAGACTACCTAGAGTTTGTCCTTGCATTAATTTCATCTTTTCTAACAATAATGGCCTATATTTATCTTAATAGTTTTGGTCTAGACTGAGTCTACTTACTGATGTACCAGCATTTACTAATTTACTGGTCAATATTAAATACGACATATCTAAATAATGCCTAGCACATGGCCTCTTATAATACAGCTTTCACAATGAGTCCTAATATAAGTAGATGGCAAAAACATCAATCTGTGTTATTACGGAATTCAATATAGTTCTTTCTGGAAACATTACAGCACTAGTGTGTACTGAGAGTGTGACCTCTGGCAAGTTTCTTAACTTCTAGAAGTCTCACTTGCTCAGCTCCAGAAAGAGATTTTTGCAACCTAGAACAGTGCCTGTTAATGAGTATGCCTTAGATAAAAATGACAGTCATTATTTTAGAGGAATTTATATTCTTCATAGGGAAATTTCTGATACTGGCATAAATACTGGCAAAAGATGGTACTTGTGTTCAGGATGAGAAAGAAAACCAAGAAAAAAAGAATCCTGGCTGGGTACAGTGACAGACATCTGTGATCCCAGCACTTCAGGAGGCCAAAGTGGGTGAACTGCATGAGCTCAAGAGTTGAAGACCAGCCTGGGCAAGATGGCAAAACCCTGTCTCTACCCAAAAAAAAAAAAAAAGCCGGTGTGGTAGCACATGCTTGTTTTTCCAGCTACTCGAGAGGCTGAGGTGGTAGGACTACTTCTGCCCAAGGCTGAGGCTGCAGTGAGCTGAGATTGTCCTACTGCACAATAGTGTGAGAGCCAGCATCCCATTCCAAAATGGAAAGAGGGAATAATTGAAGAATCACTGTACTCTCTTAAGATTATGGGTAGTGAAATACTTTGGGATGAAATATAATGCCTAGGATTAGCTTCAAATTGCTGCAGCAAAAGTGTGTAGGGGAAAGAGATACTGCATATGTTCGAAATTTCTATAATAAAGAAAAGAGACTAGAGGCTGGGTGTGGTGGCTCACGCCTGTAATCCCAGCACTTTGGGAGGCCAAAGAGGGTGGATCATGAGGTCGGCAGTTCGAGACCAGCCTGGTCAACACAGTGAAATCCTGTCTCTACTAAAAATACAAAAATCAGCTAGGCGTGGTGGCATATGCCTGTAATCCCAGCTACTTGGGAGGCTGAGGCAGGAGAATTGCTTGAACACAGGAAGTGGAGGCTGTAGTGAGCTGAGCCAGTGCCTCTGCATTCCAGCCTGGGCGACAGAGCGAGAATCCATCTCAAAAAAGAAAAAAAAGACTAGAAAATACGTACTATCTAGATTGTTAAGCAGGTAATCAATTGTCTAAAAGGTCACTTGGGGAAGAAAATACGTGATATTCACATTTGCTTGGGACTAAAAAAATAAGATGCTTGAAATACCACGGAGAGAGCGACTACGAACAGGCTGGGCAATGGGCGTCACTTTGATAATTTCATTTTCCACTTTCCCTCCCTCTTGTGACCCACCGCTGAAAAGTATGATAGGTGACCAAACCTTTTACTCCCATGCAATTTCCTTTTCTTTGTCATGGTTTCTTTCTCCTTAGGAGGTCTCAGATTGAAAACTTGAGATCATGCACCGTCACACCCATGACTGCCACTCGTCAGTCTCCTGCATAACTGTTCTGTTGGATACTCGCCAGCTGTGAACCGATTACTCTCAGAAACACACACTGACAGAATCCCAAATTATCAGCGGCTCCATGATCCCATACACATAACTTAAATGTGATAGGAGGAAAAATATGGGCTGCTGGGAGTTGAGTGCACCAAAGGGACTGTGACATTCAGTGCAATCAGACCTTTTACCAATCATCATCGACCTCTGCAAGGCGCCTGGTGATCAGGGAATCACAGGAGTGAAGTGGGACTGGGAAGGGGCCTTTATGCACCCCAACCCGACTCCTCCTCCAAAGTGGAACTCTCTTTACAACAGTCAAGGCAATTCATCACTCAGCCAGTCCACTGTGTAACTATCAAAGTCCTTCCTTATACCTGGAACCCAAAGCTCCCACCATATAAATTCCATTCCATTTTTACAGCAAACTCTTCCCTGCTTTTAAAGCTGGCTCCTTTAGCTCACTTGCTGCCAGTGATTAGGCCAATACTGGAGTCAGTCCAACTCTCTAGGCTCTGTTCTTTGTGCTCTGTTTCCTACCCTCCTCATGCTTCCACAGTTCCGGGCCAGGTACTCAACGTTTCCCCAGGCTGGTTCCATTTCTGCTCAATTACTCCAGCTGGGACGCAGATTATCTGCTAGTACTAGGACCCAGTTCTAAACTCTAGGTGACAGCCCTGGTATCCATCACAGTGGCTTCTGCCCAGGACTGCTTCCAATCATAGACCCCTAATGGTTGGGAGTCATACAGATAGGGGTGAAACCAACAGCTACCCTACTGAACTGCCAAAATAGATCATTGACTGGCAACTCACTCTAAACTGGAGCCAAATGGTGACAATAATTACATAAATTACTCTCCCATTTTTCACCATCCCTAATTACTTTTCCTTTGCCCCATCCCTCATGCTAGCAATGTTTTCTCAGTCAGCTCTGCCGTTACAGAGGATGGTTGTAACAAAATCCGTCAGGGGTGGGGGGTGGGGGTTTGGGGCTGAAGCATACTTACAAAGACACATAAAGCAGTAGTTGGTACCCTCACTTCTTTACCAGAACCAGGATGAGTATCCACATTGTCCTGGGGGACTGGGAAGGAAGAGACAGAGCGTCTCCTAAGAAATAAGATAAAGACAAATATTAGACAGGATTGCAGAGGTTTACTCTCATCAAATTGTTAGAAAGAACTCCAAGACGACCTTGCTTAAGCAGACTGCCTCTGTTGATAGCCTGTCCCTCATAGATTCTTCAAACTACAGAACAATTCACAAAAAAAATTAGAAGCACCCTCACTCAAATGATTAAGAAAGAGAGCCAGCACATGCCTTACTCTCCTGCACACTAACCTGTGGACTTCAAAACCCAACAGTGAAAAACGATCATGAACGACAAGTGCTTACCCAGTCAGTAAGCTGCTGAGCAACTTTCTCAGCTTAATGTAACAGCTAGCTAAGAGGTAGCTCTCTGGTATTCACAAAATTATTTTATTTCTATGCCTAGTCAGAATCTTCCTCATCACCTGTGATCAATGTAGAGTCTAACACATGCCAAAAGAAAGCAACAAGAGCATGAGTACTGTACAAAGTGTTCAACCTGATAGCCCTGCTCTGGGAGCTCCCGGCATTCCTAGGAACATGCAAAGCGTCCTGGTTAGCACGTGAACATCTGATGACTGAGGGCAGTGAAGCAGTGATCGGCATAATTGTTAAGGACCCACACTCACATGCTGGACTAAGAGAGGATAATAGTTTCACCTGGCAGCATCAGAAGAAGAATGATGTCCCAAAAGGGGAGACTCGGACAGACTAAAGGGAAAGGCCAGAGATCAGCACACAGCCAGATTAAGAGGAAAGGAAGTTGAGGAAAAAAGGAAGAAGCTAAATGAAAAGCTGAAATTAAGGCACGTGTATATTCTGTACCACTGAAACCTGGTGTACATTTAAAAAAATAAAAATAAGTCATGTACATATATTTAGGAATAATTATACACATTTTAAAAAGGAAAGGTGAAAGTCTTCTAACCTACCCAAAGATATTAGTGATAGAATCCAGAAGGCCTCCAGCAGGCTGCGAGAGTCGCTTACTAAAGAGGAGGGGAGGATAGGTTTAAACCTTAGAAACATTTTGCCCAAATAATCAATCAATAAAAACAGCCCATAAAAACAGGTACCTGGGAATATGTTTCCCATTTAGTTCCCAAACCCCAGCTGAGAGAAACCCAACACAGTACCAAACTGCCAGAAAACAGTGGGAAGGGAAAAGGGAAAACCCAGCCTAGAGGTCTCCAAAGAAACAAGGTTCCCTAGTACTAATTTCCCTGGAAATAAACCTAGACAATTAACCTCATGATTTCTGGCTAACTAACCTCATAATCTGTGGCTGTTAGTAACCAATCCCCACTCTTGAAGTCCTGCTTTGGGGAAAAAGAAAAAAAAAAAGCCCTAGTAAGAATGAAACAGGATGATCTAAACCTGAACAATCATTCTGCTTAATAAGGTTTAACTGTCCATATTTTAGCAAAGCCACTACACTGTTTTTTGTATTTAGAAGCATTTGAAGCCACCTGTGTTCTGCTTCTCCCATTAAGCACAGGTGAACTGAGAAAGACAGGACACCTCTGTGGTGTGTATGATGCTAGGTGTCCCCGCAAAGGGATAGGGGGTTGGGTGCACCTGACTACTTTCTTTGTCATGTCCACAAATGTGCCTTCATATTGCTCCTCCAGCTGTCTTTTCCCTGGCCCAAACCTGCCTACTTACGTGGCTGCTCTGCTGATGGCTCGCACAGGAGAGGTCTCTTCCGTGTGATCAGAGGTTTCATCCACAATGACCTCAATATCATCATCCCTGGAAAGAAAGGCAAGAGATTCTTTGATTCTTTAGAGCAGGAGCTTTGTGATGAATCTGTTCGCCAAATGCTAATGTCGTTTTCTAGTTATACCTTATGTCACTACGCTATGACAGCAATGGTTAAAGGTTCTTTGGAGAAAAAGGAAGAGCTGCCATGTTCTGAACAATGCTAAAATAAACATTTAACCTGTTTAAATAAAATCCAGAATTCCAGCTAAGAATAAATTTAAAAGTGAGCATTTGATCCTTTTAGGTATAAACATAGCTCCCACTTGGAAAGCGATGAAATACTTAACCATTACCAAAGGAGGACATTCCATCAGCAGTCAGCTTCACAGCTGAAGGGCTGCAGTACTCACCAAGCAAAGTTCCCATGACACAAGGGCTGAGGGGGATCTAGGACAGTTAGGGGCAGCTATGGAATATAAACAAACAGGGTAGGGAGAAGAATTCAGGGGAATAAGGGATTGCTAAATGGGCCATGAAATCAACAGCTGTCTTAACTCAATTTCAAATATTATTTTAATTAAAAAATAGAATCTAAACACTATACATTTTTAATTCTGTGTGTTTCATGTTTAAATACACAGTGTCTCTGTCATTAGGAGAGTCCATTGCACCTCAAATGAAACAATCAAGTCATATAACCTACTCCCTTTGTTGCTGTTTATCCCAATGGACGCAAAGCACCTCTGGAATTTGTCTTCCTCATTTTTATTGGCCATGTCTTTTCTGGTTGGAGGATGGCAAGTAATTATTCTGGTCTTAATGACCTCCTACTGAGATGCAACCTTCACGGAGAAGTAAAATAATTAAATGCAATAATCCAAGATTTCATCACCTACTGCTTGGATTCTTAAGAACTTGACAGATTTTTCCTTTTCAGTGAATAATTATCTGGATTATGTAAATATATACTTAAGAACTTGTTACTAGGCAAATTAAACCAAGTCAAAGTAAATTTATTTTCCTTAGCTATTTATTCCAGGACTATATGTAATTATTGCACCACATTCTTGGCCAGGATGTAGACGAGAATAAAGGCAGGTTTAAAGAAAGAGGACAAGGCTGTGCTTTATTTTCTTGATTGGCTTTCCCAGAGATCTAGGTTTGTGAGAGTCACCTGTGCCCACACAAGGACGAGAGGAGAACTGCAAAGACAGGAACTGCAAATATGAGCTGAGCCTTTGACAATGTCCTGTTGAAAATAGAATTTTATGGTTGTAAGTACTTGGAATTGTGCTCAGGCCCAGGACCACAAGAAAATACTAGCATCTGCTAAGTTATCAAAATCTTTCAAAGATGTGTATGTGCTCTGACACAGAAAATCCTTAGGGAAGCGTAGAGATTCAGAACAGGCCTTCACAGCCCTATGTTTGCACCCTACCTCAGCCCTTTCCTGTATCATCTTGGGGAGGATGCTCACCCTGTTTAAGTTGTCACATCCAGTCAACCTGGTTATGCTGCTGATTATAAGGCAGACAACTGACACTTTTATAAGCTGTTATTTTGAAGAAACCAAATCTCATTTCCAGGTCAACTATTTACTTTGTGGCTTGGGAAAATACAACTGAGATTAATCTTCCACATCTGAAAGTGTAGATACACACATACCCTACACATCTAAAGCAAAGGCATGATATGAGAACCTTTGTTTCTTTATAAATTAAGACTTTTGTTGGTGAATGACTCCTAATTTAATTTAAACCACTCCACTTATAAGGAAGCAATTAACATTTTAAAAAATAGTGGATCACAGCTTTGAAACTATATTCCAAAACACACACTTCGATAGAAAATATAAACATCCTAGAGCAAAGAAAACTGTTTCCTGCCACGATTAAAGCTTCAAATTTCAGAGAAGATCCCCCACCTTAACTTGTAGGCAGATTAAGAAAAGTTCCAAACTAGTTTAATTCCTTTTGTTCCAAGAGATCTTAGTTTTCACTTATGCTTCCACTTCAAGTAACAAATCAAAGGGAGAAAGGAGGAAAAAAACAAACAAAAATCCACCACCACAGCATTACATGGCAGGCACAATTAGAGGCAGAAAACGGATCGCTCAAAGTGTCAACAGGAAACAGTGAGGCAGTAATGTGTACAGAGTGCAGGAAGTCAGAATTCACACTCACAGCTGATGAACAGAAACTCTTTGAAGGTTATTTGGTGATATGTTCCAAAAGCTTTGACCCAGCCAATTTTACTTTCAAGAATCTATCTCAAGTAAGTAATCAGAAATAGGGTCAATCAATGCATTATTTGTAAGAAATCAGAAGTCACCAAAATACAATTAAAATGATATATGGATGTTACTTCTGAGTGGTGGAAGAATTGTACGTTTTCATTTCTCCCTTTAACAT